TTACTCTATAATATTAACTCAACTAAATTCATTAATTCATGTTAATGATTTAAGTAATTTAATAATAAATTTTCCTCTAAATAAGAGTTAAAGAGTTCGAATAATATGATATACAACTATGATAGGTTAAGAAATGGAAATGAGTTATATTTTATTTTACAATAAAAAATATAAATATAAATAAATAAACTCATATTGGTTTATATAAATTCCATGATGAACTAATTAAAATATCAATTAGAATATGCAGCTCTCTATTTTTTAGGTAAGAATGTGTGTGAGCATCATTTTGATTTGGAGGACTAAAGAAAAGGGAAAAAAGGTACAAATAAATTGAGGACCAAATGTTTCAAGTATATGCAAGTGGGCAATGGTCAGTGCCATCTTTATAAATATTCTTTAGGCATTCTCACTTCATTCATCTGGATTCTTCCCGTGTTGTACCCTTAAATAGATAAGGTGCACATGAGATTTTTTTGGTAGTGATAAGGACACCTGGAGATGGTGCGGTGATGCCATGGCCAAAAGAATAATAGAATATAATTATCTCTAACTGTCCTTGGAAAATCCGAATATTCATATTCCTCTAAGTGCAAGCATATAACAGTCTTGTGTGTATTTTTGGATTTCTAATTTCATGTGTAAATTGTGAGACTTAATGATTCGTGACTAAATTTGATCATGTATGATACATGCCCGGGGCCATTGGCAATACAGGTTATGTTATATTGAGCCCATGGAACCGAAGATTGTTTTGGGCTTTTATAAGTGTTGGGTTTTGGTTTTTGTTTTGACTTTTGGCACGTCGTAAAAAAAAAAAAAGCAAAATTTATGGGCCTTACCCAATTGGCTTTGGATGGCTTTGGTTCCGGATGGGCTTCAACCTCAATTTTATAACCAGTCTAATTGTTTACATTATGAGAAGTGAGATTTTTTTTTTTTTTGGGATGTATGACCACTGAATTTATTATTTAGTATTGAATTTATTATTTGGACTATACTGAATAAAAATTAAACCAAACAATAGGGAAAAAATAAAAAAATAAAAAATTGGCTCAAATTAATAAGGCAAAAGTTACAGTTTATTTATAATTTTCAGTAAGAAGATTTCATAACAAAATATATGTCTGCAATCATCATAAATTGCACAAAAGGCTTGACCA